GGTCATATGGTAGTTCTATTTGTAGTTTTTTAAGGAACCTCCATACTGTTCTCCATAGTGGCTGAACCAATTCACATTCCCACCAGCAGTGCAAGAGTGTTCCCTTTTCTCCACACCCTCTCCAGCATTTATTGTTTTTAGATTTTTTGATGATGGCCATTCTGACTGGTGTGAGATGATATCTCATTGTAGTTTTGATTTGCATTTCTCTAATGATTCCTAACATTGCTTTTGATGATGAAGTTAGCTACCTCTTTGACTTCAGCTCTTCCTCCTTTCCTCCTTTCCCTTCTCAGCTAAGCCTCTTTAATGCTTTTACTCTGGGTGCTTTGTGAACTTGGATCAGGCCGTATTTGTTCCTAGCTCAGGACATTTGCCCCTGAGTTCGTCAGCTTGAAACATACTTCTAGATATTTGCATGGCTGTCGTCTTTTCATCATGTAGATCTCAAATCCTATGTTGCCTCCTCAGTCACCTGAGGAGGTGACTAAGCACCAAAATAAGCGTAAAATTATGCTTATTTTGCAGAGAGCATATACAGACATATCTGGGAAAGTATCAATAGAATATTTTCTTATTCTAAATTACTTCTCTTTAGCATTCTGTACAGCTATGTTCTTGAATCAAACTGAGGGCAATTTTGTTTTTCACATGGCTCCTGATGAAGGGGTGGCAACTTGTAGAAAAGAGAAACAGTGATTCAGTGGTGGTTTGGAAGATTGGGATGAAACACATTGTCTCAGGGCTGTTTCGACAGGTAAGTGGGAGAAGGAGAAATACAGCTTCCCCCTCACCTCAAGGGGAATTGACTTTCTTCTTGCTATTTGATACCATGTTTACTAAAATTATGCTGAGAATGAAATGCTTAAAGCAAAAGGAAAATGTTCTTGCCAATAGCTCTTATAAACAGCAGTGCTTTGCTTCCTGTAGCATTATTTCTTTGGTAATTGTGTAGCAATTGTGTAGTAATTGTGTAGCCTTCTTGTTTCTTGGGAAGAAGGAAAGATATGATTTAGATTAGTGCTTTATCCATTTCAGTTTTGAGTAAAGAGGCCAAGTGGAGGCAATTGGCAAACATAAATTTCTTGCCTCTCACAGGGTAGCTAAAGTGGATATTATAATATCATTTAGATTTGGTATATTTGGTAAGCCCTTCTCTCTCAAGATGTACCCAAGGGCTTGTGAACTGAATCCCCAATGCCATTTGATAAAAGAGGATGAGCCTGACTGGAGCTAATGTTCATATTGTATCCACTTTAGAACTGAGGTTTTCCAAAGACTGCTTCCATGGGATATAGGCATTTTAGGAAAGAGCCCATGCGTTTGGGAAACTTTATTGTTTTGAATAAAGTTAAATTATCTTGTTTTGATTTCTCAGAGCTCTTAGGACAACAAAAACATTGATTATGAACCAACCAAGAAAGACTAATGTCTGGCTTATTTCTTAAATATGTTTGGCCATAGAAACATATTTCCAAAATGAGTCTTGAAGGAAATACATCTTGGAAAAGAGGTTCTAGACAAATGCTGTGGGTGATTGGTCAGCTCTGTAGAACTAGGCAGAGAACTGCAACCCAAACCAATCCTCCAGCATCCAAAGTTCCTCTCAACTCCTTCAATCTGTACACTTCTTGCCAGGAGTGAGCACACCTAGCTTCCAGGTAAAACACTGACTTGGTATTTGGGTTATGCTCAGGTATTACAGAACAGAGGACTGATGGGTCAGGACTACTGTCCCCAAATATTGGACATTTGTTACGTAGGTAATTGTACTTTATGTCTCAGGAGTCATGATCTGACCTATGGCACATAGGTAATCGAGTTCATTGTGAAGTTCAGACCTTCAAGGGAGCTTACTTGAAGTTTTCAGCATCTGTTTCATCAGAGGCTGAGTGAATACTAAAGGATGTTGAAATAGAGGTTGCAGAATACTGTTATTCTCCAAAGCACTGTAACTCTTTGAAGTGAAGCCAATGTACATTTATTGAGTCAGTAGTTCAAAATGGCACATTATGGCATCCACATATAATCCCAGGACATAACCATTACTGGACTTTCTGTGTTTTGAAAATCCAGATCTGAACCTACTTCAGGAGGACTTTTCAGGGTCAGATCTGCCTCAGGGAAACCATGGGTGAAGGAGTAAGCTTTTAGGGCTCCTTGGGACCTGGGCTATTCAGAGGTCTTGTAAGGGACATGAATAAGACAAAATTTAAAATAATTTAATGACAAAAATGAGGTTTTTTAAAAAAAATGTAAAAATAAGGTCAGGAATAAGGTTATTCTTGTCATAATTAATAACTGTTGATTCCTGGGATACATGCATTTTATTCCACTGGTTAAATGTTATTAATATGACTTGGGTAAAGCGGTTAACTGGAAGCACTACATGAAAATTTTGATTTTTTGAAGCCGGATGAATGCAGATTCCTTTTATAAGCATTAAAGAATCAGCCAGAAAGTAACTTGGAACTGATTATGAATTTCGCAGCTTGGGAACTTATAAAGTTGTATATTGCTCAAAGACGAAGACACCATGTGATGAATGAACTTAATGAAAAATATAGCTCAGAGACCTTGATAGTCATATTTCTTAGCTAATGAATTCTTTTATGTGAGATATTTTAGAAACTATAATGCGTTTTCAAATATTACACATAGAGGATTCCTTGAAGAAGATCAAAGAAATCTGTTGACTTCGTCATTGATATGGTATATTGTACTCTCACTGGCAATGAATATTTGAAGTCTGAAAAAGCTCAGTGATGGATCACAGCCTCCATTTGCGTTCTCCTTTAACAAATTAAAAAATTCTAATTTTGAGCCATTTTTTTAAGATCTTGGTTATCAAGAAAACAGGGAAAGATAAGTGACAAATTATATAGTTTTTCTTTCTTTCATGAGATTCTTATCATGACTTCTTGGCTATTCTATTTGAACACTCTATGTGACATTTGAGCTCAGATTAACCCCCCTTTGATTCCTCCCTCTCTCCCCAACATATTCACTGATTCTTCTGTTTTTCACCTTGTGTATAATTTTTAAAATGGTAACAAAATTAGACTAGTTGAGAGTTCTTGTAAATGGTCACAGCACTGGAAGTCTTACCTCTCTCTAGAGCATGCACAAATGCTACAGCAAGCAGGAAAACCAGGATCCTCTTCATTTTCCTGCCGGCAAGTCCTGTAGCACCCCTGTCTCCTGTATGTTACCCAGTTAAAAAAAAAAATGGCATCCAAAAGTAACCAATTCCCTTTTACTAATAAGATTCCTGACTGTGAGCTAATCAATTATTAATCTCTACATGGAAGGAAGGGCAGTCATCCTTGGGCCACAAGAGATAAAATATCATCAATCAAGGCAAATAGACAACCTGGGGAAAAAGTAGTGGAAAATCTAGGAGATTTTAATCATTAACTTTGTCGAACTGCAAAATAGTCAGGGTATATATAGATTTTTCCCCCCACTTCTGCTTTTTGCTAAAGCTTATCTAATGTATTTATGGGCACATTTTCCCTCCCTCTTTCTGTGTTGTCTTTGGACATTCCCTACCCTTCTCATGTGTATAAATGGAAACTTGGAGGTGTCTCTTTGTTTAAACCTACTAGAAATAAAGATTATCTTAAAATATCGCAGACTAGATGTTTAATAAGGGCAAAAAAAGTGAGAACCCAATTTATCGCAATTGCTCAAATCCATAATTTTAATGCTATATATTTTATTGAAGATGATTGGGATAGTACTTTATATTTATGTGCTATATTACACAAATATATTTCTAAAGCACTGACATACATATTAGCAATAACCCTTGAAATCACAAAAATTAGTGGCAAATCTCGGACTCCCCATAGCTCATTTAAAGTTCTTTTTACTAGTACTACACAACTAGTATATTTTAGGATAATATAACTTGAGAGTACACAGTTGGCCTTGTAGAATGCAGAATCCACCATCTTCATTTTACAGAAGAAGGAACTAAACCCCAGAGATTCTGTGGCTTGCCCAGAAAGGCACAGGTAGTTGTCGTTCATTCCATCACTGGAAACAGGTCAGCATCTTGTTCTTGCAGTAGTCATCTTTTCAGGAAACAGGGTCAGATAAGGGTTGGGTACACCAGCTCTGGAATCAAATCCCTACTCAGCTCTTATCGGCTATATAACCTTGGAAAATCATCTCTCTAAGCCTCATCTCTCTCCTATGCAAAATGATGATAACTTCTAGTACTTTTGTTACAAGTGTTGTGAGCTTAATTAAGATACTGTGCAAGGTTTACCATAATAACAAACACATGGTAGCATGCATTAATGTTAACTATTGCTCTCATTCTAGTTATTGCCCCCTCTTTTCACTGGCTCTCCAAATTTATAATATCTGAGAAGGTTATTGAATCTAATGAGGCCTAGAACTCAGTGGAAGACCTTGAAGCCAGCCTGTATTATGAGTTTAGGACCATCACAGATAAGTGGTAAAGAATTCTGATATCAATTTAGTAGCTAAGGGTTAACTGCATGGTCAGATTCCATCAAAATCTCAAATTGCATAAGCAGCTTACATTTTTAGTAAGATTCTCCATCTATATTGAAAATTGTTGAGTGTTAAGTTCAGAAAATACAGTCCAGGTAGTTGGAAAAGGATAACTAAGCAAGATTAAAGCAGAGATATCTCTATAAAGCCAACGGAAATTCACGTGCTAGAGGAGACTAAAAGATACTCTAAATATTGCTAGGGGCAGTATGGGAAGATAGCCTTACTGTTCAAGGACCAACTATATGCTGTTCAAAGATGAACTTCCTTCCTACTACAAGTCCTCTAAACTTTTCCTTTGGCTAAACTCTTAGTTTACTTTGCAAGTTAATTTAAAAGTGTGTTTTAATCTTAGTATAGATTATTTGGAAGTGCCAAATAATCAAGTGGCACTAATAATCAACTGTTATCTTAAGTGCCAAAACACTTAAAAATAACTAAGAAGCCCAGAACTCAGAAACATTATTAACACATTATAGTTTCCATTTTTAAGATAATACACATATCCATTTTTATAGAGTTTTGTATTTAACAGTATTTCATCTTCTGATGATTAGTTCATTCAAAGATATACTGGTTTGTTTCCCATTAATTTTGCTACGGTTTAAGATCAGCCCGTTCTTCCATTTAAAAAACAATTATAACTTTATCTCTGATTTTGCAATAATATCTCCCACTTTCGTTTAATGATAAACTACATGTAGCAAGAGTTGCAACATCTCATTTAGGTCCTCCTGAGAAATCTCTACACAAGCTGCCAAATGCATTCTCTTGGCTGAGTTTACCTTTTTCCAACTGAAAATCGGCACTCATGTGCTAATAGCTAAATACATGAACCATCTCTCAGTCTTACTTATATAACTCTCCTTTAATTCTTTTACATGTTGATAGCTCACCGTCATTCTGTTGGAAAGAAATAATTGGCTTAATTGAGATATCTCATCTTGCCATGACTACTCTAGTAAGTCCAATGGGGCGGGGGGAAGATAAAAAAGACCGAGTGAAATCTTCTGCCACAGTTACAGCAACTCAGAAATTTATAATGGAAATAGTTATTTTAGAAGAATTATTTATTAAATAAGCAGTAGAATTTCACAGGAATCAAATAGCATATACAGAAGTCGAAATAAGTTGTTGTACACATGAAATTGATATAATATTATAAACCAGTTAAAAAGCTGATTTGAAGTAATCTCCCACCTCTTTATCTTGCCATTGGCTTCAGAAGAA